GTACATGCCACTGATCAGCTGTGCCAGGTGCCGGTGCCACAAAAGGAGCCTGCCCTTACTGAAATGAAGACTAAATAAATAGTCTTAGGCCCTGTCCACACGAAGTCAAGCTCAGGCCTAAACGCAAAAATACTTTATCAATCCAGTGTATCGTCCATACGAGGCCGGCGTTTTGGGGGGGTGTAAACGAACATTTTTGAAACTAGGTCCCAGAGTGGAAAGATTTCAAAACTCCGTATATGCCGTTCCGTGGTTACTGCCTCTCCGCAATGTATCTGAGACGCTTGCGTCATCGCCCCGCCTCTTGTTAAAGCACGCATGCGCCGCACTCAGAAAATAATGACAACAACAATGTAGCTTGTTGGTTTTGTAATCCAGTGTGACCCGATGCAACAGTTCAACCTCATCGTCCGTCCATACTAATGTAGTACCAGCTCGCCCACTCGCCATGTTGTCTGTTTACAAAATTCCGCGCATGCTCACGGAAGTTTGGGCTTGATCCCATCATTGCGTCACAGCGCCACCAACAGGTCTGGCATAGTTTCACAGCGTTTTCAGGCGTATTGACTACATTCATATGGACGCACACATTTACTGAGCTAACTCCGTGTTTACAGAAAAAGTTTCTTAAATTATAAGCGTTTTGTCTTCGTGTGGATATAGCCTTAGTTAGATCCTTGTGAAAGTAACATTTTACATAATCAACGGCACTACTTAATCAAATAAAACTACATTCTTTTTAAAGTTATACTGATGTATCTGCCTTTTGTTAGTGACTGCATGCCGTGTTCTCAAATCAACCTAGCATAATGACCCGTTTTCCCCATAGACTGTGTCATGTTGACTGCAGATTAAATAAACTTGCAATTCATCCATATTAACAAAACGTCTCTAAATAAGGACAATGAAACAGCACTGTTCAAACCATAGACTAAAAATTATTAAACAAAAAGTAGTGGATTACCTTTGAAGCAAAGCCGTGGTCAGGCAGCTGTGACAGCTTTGGCAGTAAACAATAACCACATGCAACAGGAGAGGCACAGAAGCAGCGTGACTACGTCACCACAGACCATGAAGCCATTTACGGACGTAGTGACTCCGATCTCAGCTGTTGAAACAACTGTGCCATCAATTTTTCCTCCTTTTTCAAAATGGTCATGGCACATTTGCGCATGTGTTAGCCGGCACGCCCCATTTATTTAACAAAGTGATTTCTGAAGTTCATGTAGCGACCCAAAACCTTTTGTCACCTCTGGAGAGAAGAGTGCGGGTCAAGTATAATGGATGACGCGCAGCCGATTGCAAAGAACACGCTGGAGGCACGTAATGCAATTTGTGAATTTAACTGTATCTGCGGTTTATGATTTTTACAATGAATAACAGGCCTTTGAGTAAAACTGGAAACAAAATAGTATGGAACAAAAGTGTGCGGTCAACGAAAAATATGGCTACCCGGCTTCTCCCCTCTCCCTGTTACTGAGCAGGAAGAGAGTGCCTTTCAAAACTCCCGGCACGGCACCCATGCCCACGTGACCCACGCCCCCTGACACGTTGCCATAGCAACCATACCCACGAACCAATAGATATGGCTCCTTCAGTCCACAAAGGCTAAACTAGATCCAAAAAAACAAAACACTTGCCTCAGCATTGACGGCATCTGGAACGTAGTGAAGAGGATGTGCCAAGTCTGGGATCGTGTCTTTCATTCTGACAGAAGACATGTTTTATTGTCGATGGTAGAGACAGCACGATCAAAGCACACGATCACAGAAACAATAGAATGCAAGTGTGTAAGAGCGGAGGCATGGAGACCTCCAATCAGCAGCTGCCACGGTGTGCTTGTAGCTTGGCCTTCAGATAGACAAAACAAGGGAAAAGTACTGGCTTCTGCACATTGATAGAATTATGAGTTTAACTTTAACAAAAGTTGCTTCAAAGTGTTATGAAATCTCACATTCCCCCCTCTGGTCACACATTCACGTGTGACCATCAGGATCGACAAACAGCAACATAACATCATAACTCAATACTTCAAAAACTCATAAACTCGGTACTTCAAAAAACTCAGAACTCGGAATACTTCAAAAACTCAGAAAACTCATAAAACATGTTCAGATCTTTCATAAAACTTGTCAACAATCTTCAGTAAAATACCAAACTTCATCAGTCGATGGTGGTTCCAGATATTGCTTTGAAAACAGTCTCTCCCACTTCTCCGTGTTGATTTCTTCAGGCTGCATTTGTGTCGAGCCATGAATTCTTCTGTGACGTGTCTTTCAATCACACGTTTCAGCTTCAGTGTCCAGATTCAGCAATTCAATTCAGTCCAAATTCTGTCCAAATTCAGAAATCCAATTGTTCCAAATCATGTCCAAATTGTGTAATCCAATTTTTCCAAATGGTGTCCATGCAAAAGAGGACGATGGTCTTGTCCAAGTCTCAGCAGCTCACAGCCTGACTGGAATCGATGGCTGTGCAGATAGTTCAAGTGTGCTGGTCCAGATGCATTCTCTTGAGCTTTCTCAGTTTTGGCTTAAAAAAAAAACACTTTTTGTGTAAAAAAAAAAAGTCTTCTGTTCTCTAGATGTTACAGACAAGGCCCGCATCCTTCCACCACCTGAAGAAGATGACAAAGTCTGGGATTGTGTCTTTCATTCTGACAGAAGACATGTTTTATTGTCGATGGTAGAGACAGCACGATCAAAGCACACGATCACAGAAACAATAGAATGCAAGTGTGTAAGAGCGGAGGCATGGAGACCTCCAATCAGCAGCTGCCACGGTGTGCTTGTAGCTTGGCCTTCAGATAGACAAAACAAGGGAAAAGTACTGGCTTCTGCACATTGATAGAATTATGAGTTTAACTTTAACAAAAGTTGCTTCAAAGTGTTATGAAATCTCACAGTAGCGTTGGACCAAGAGCCAACTTTTGGACCATACTGTGAAGCTGTTTTCAAGAGGTAAGAAGACTCATTGGATAATTCTTAAACCGGGTCCATCCCCACTGGCCCGGAGTGAGATTTCGGCATGTCAGGGCTAACTAGCGCCAACTCACTATATTGATGTTTACCTGTTTTTTGACTACTATAGCTTAATTAAATGAATAAACATGGTTAATTTTCTTTCAGGTACATCAGCAACCCGGAAATTATACGGTTTGACTCGCACTTTACATGGCTGAGCAAAATCAAAGAGCTGTCCATTCAGTTCACCTACCCAAAAGCAATGCCGTGTGAGGGCTTGCTGGCAATGAGAGAAATGGAACTGCTGGACTTCTCCAACAACCGCCTCACCAACCAGTACATGTACAACCCCCGCTGCGTTTACAATGGAACCATGCCTAACCTCCAGACTTTGTACTACACCAACAATGAACTCACCAGCCTGAAAGTTATCTCCTCGTCTGTGAGATATTTTGTACGATTGAAGGTTCTGGATGTAAGCTTCAACCATCTGGGCTCTGCTCCTCTCAGCACCGGTTGCATCTGGAACCACAATATTACTCGCTTCATTGCACACCACAACGAGTTTGCCAGTGAGTCCTTGCTTTGCCTGCCAGCCACTGTGGAGTACTTGGATCTTTCATACTGCAGTCTGGACAAGGTGGACACAGCATTCTTTGACAAAGCCGTGAACCTCAAAGAAGTGCTTCTAAGTGGAAACAAAATCAAGTACATTCCGCCAAACTGGAAAAGCCCAACCCTGCGATCGCTGGAACTCGATGGGAATTCTTTTGGTGTCATAACAGTGAACTCATTTCAAGATATGCCGCTGATGAAATCTCTCAAAGCGGGGAACAATCCTTACCAGTGCACGTGCGAGCTGCATGCGTTTTTTGAGGACACCTTGTCGAAGGCAATGGTGAATTTAACCGACTGGCCGTGGAACTACCACTGCTACCACCCACAGGCTCTGCTCAACACCTACATCTCCAAGTTTGTCCCAGGTACAAATGTATAGTTTCATTCAATTCCATTTATTTTTGTTTAGCCCTTAATCATAACATTGGAGATGTTCTCGATTTGCCACCACAGATCATGAATTCAAACATTTCATACAGAGAAAATGTAACACTAAAATAAAAAAACACAGAGCATTTACATAAACAAATGGAGAGGCTGTATATCCAGGACTGAGGCTGTAGATCCAGAACTGAGGCTGTAGATCCAGGACTGAGGCTGTAGATCCAGGACTGAGGCTGTAGATCCAGGACTGAGGCTGTAGACCCAGGACTGAGGCTGTAGATCCAGGACTGAGGCTGTAGATCCAGGACTGAGGCTGTTGATCCAGGACCGAGGCTGTAGACCCAGGACTGAGGCTGTAGATCCAGGACTGAGGTTGTATCAATCAATCAATCAATCAAATTTTATTTATAAAGCGCTTTTCATACAAAAGATGCAACACAAAGTGCTTTACAGTTTGGTTAAAAACAATCCCGCCGGCCCAAGACCCCTCCCCCAGACCACCCAACAGACCCACCCCAAACCACAGACAAACACACACACGCTCTCATGAAGACTCATATACACACACACACACCAGTAAAACAATAAAACCATGATGAGAGACTTGGCAGGGTTCAGATGCAACCAGCTGAAAAAGCGTCATCCAAAGAGCCGTCTGCACCAGGAGCAGAGAGCCGCCCGTAGCCACAGGACCCAGAGGAGACACGAAGCCGAGGCCCCAGGCCCCCACCAGGCCCAAGAGTGGGGTCCGACCCCCGCAGCCACACTGACCACTGCTCCCAGTGCAGAGGGCTCCTCCAGAGGAAACACTGGGTACACTAAAAATAATACAATAAGTAAAACACTAAAATGTGAGACTAAAAGGAACACACAATACATGAATAATAGCAATAGCAATAATATAAATGATAAAAAATAAAAGATAAATAGAATGGAATAATAAATACTAATGAAAAGCTATTCTAAAAAGGTGTGTCTTGAGCCTACTTTTGAAAATATGAATGTTCTCTGCGGCCCTGAGCTCCTCAGACTGTTCCAGAGACGGGGGCCGTAGTGCTGGAAAGATGCCTCGCCGTGAGTGTGTGTCCTGACTTTGGGGATGGTTAGGAGTCTGCTGCCGGAGGAGCGCAGGGGCCGGGAAGGTTCATAGGATAAAAGTAGTTCTGAAAGATAAGAAGGCCCAAGACCGTGCCCAAGACATTTAAAAACCATTAAAAGAACCTTAAAATTGATCCTGAAACACACGGGGAGCCAATGCAGCGATTTTAAAACCGGTGTAATGTGGTCCCGCTCCCTGGTCTTAGTCAGGACACGTGCGGCCGAGTTTTGGAGTAATTGAAGACTTGCAATACTCTTTTTGGGAAGACCAGAGAGCAGGGCATTACAGTAGTCAATGCGACTGGTGATAAAAGCATGCATCAGCGTCTCCGTGTTGGCCCGAGAGAGAATGGGGCGGACACTGGCGATGTTCTTTAGATGATAAAGACCCAGGACTGAGGCTGTAGATCCAGGACTGAGGCTGTAGAGCCAGGACTGAAACTGTAGATCCAGGACTGAGGCTGTAGACCCAGGACTGCAGATGTAAATCCAGAATTCAAAACTAGGTCAAGATCTGGAGACAGTCAAAATAATAAATGGAAACATTCTGGACAGTAGCACATGTTTGTATTTTCTGTTCTCACAACAACACAGTGAGACTGTCTTCTCTGCTCGTCCAGGGCGTCTGGCGTGTGACGTCCGACTGGTCGTCCTCATCGCCGTGGCCACGACTGCAGCTTTCCTCATGGCTCTGATGGTGGTCTGCTACGTCTTCGAACTCCCCTGGTACACCAAGGCCACGTACCAGATCCTCAGAGCCAAATATCGAGCCTACCAGACCCCGCCTGGAGAGGAGGCAATGCTCCGGTACCACGCCTTCATCTCCTACAGCCACTGGGACGCCGACTGGGTGAGGGACCAGCTGCTGCCCGCTCTGGAGGACCGCGGGAACCCTTACCGTCTGTGCATCCACGAGAGAGACTTCACACCCGGGAAGTGGATCATCGACAACATCATCAAGAACATTGAGAACAGCCACAAGGTACAAACAAGAAGGAAAAGTATTCAGACTCAAAGGTCCAAGGAGAGACTATTTGTGGATGATGGATTCAATTTAATTCAATTTAATGTATTTTTGTATTACCCTCACAACAGCAGTTATCTCGTAAGACAAAGTTGATGATTCCCAAACACAGATCAGAGAATCAAACAGTTTTTATGAATGATTGATTGTCCAAGCTGTCAACCAATCCTGAAAGCACTGCACCTTCGCTGATCCAGAACTGGGTCCACAGGAGGCCTTGGTCTTTCAGCAGGGGCTTTGGGCAAAGTGGGGTTAAGTGTCTTGCCCAGGGACACAATAACAGCAACTCAACTCAGATTAAGACTAAAACCCCATATTTTATCACTTTTTCCAGTGTACCAACTGTTATAGAGGGCCAACAGTTCAAACACAGAGAGCATATGAGGCACATATAAGGGATGTGCAATTTTAAACACCACCACTAGAGAGTGCCATTGTTTATCATTAGATTTTGGTGACTCTTGGATGCAGAGGCCTGTGCTTAGTATGGACTGTGTGAAGGACACATAAAAAAAAAACATTAATATAAGATGGCCTCCTGCTGAGACTCTAAGGAGCACAGGGACTGGCCTCTTCTGGTTCCCAGAGTCAGGACTAAACACGTGGAGGCAGCCTTTCTGATTTAGTTAGCTAAAACCGGGAAAAATCTTCCAAAAAATGTGAGACAGGCTTCTTCTTTGACAATGTTCAAATTCAGCTTTGAAATAGTTGTGTTCAGCTGTGATTACAACTGAAGGATTGTATCTGTACTGTTTTTAATGTACTGTGAGTATTTAGGATGTTAATGCTTTGTGTGATTGTTTCTATTGTGTTTTGTTAAGCTCTTTGTGTCGGACCTGTGCTTTACAAATAACCTTTGCCTTTTCTTGCCAGATGATCTTCGTGCTCTCTCGGCATTTCGTCAACAGCGAGTGGTGCAACTATGAGCTGTACTTTGCGCAGCAGCGAGCGATGGGGAAGACCTTCCACGACGTCATCCTGGTTCTGAAGGAGCCCATCGACCCCGGCTCTCTGCCCAACAAGTACTGCAAGCTCAAGAAGATGTTGAGCACCAGGACCTACCTGGAGTGGCCCCAGCAGCAGAACCAGCGAGCCTTCTTCTGGGCTCAGCTGCGGAGCGTGCTGGGCAGACCGGCCGTGGTGAGGTCCAGGAGCGGGAGCCAGAGGAGCCGAGGGGGCTCTGAGGAGAGGGAGCCACTGGTGGACAGGCCTGGGTTAAGTGTGGAGGTCATAGAGGAGAGAGAGTGAGGGAGGGGGGCTGAGGGCGATTCCTGTGCCCAGGTTGTGTAGAGGGAGGACTAGTACTATAGTAAAAGCATTTAGACACAGCTCACTATTTAGCAACAGAAGCGTCAGGTCCTAATTCCTACTCAGAGCACAATTTAACAACTACCACAACCGTCTTGATTGCAACACAAGATACAGATAAAACATTAGATATCTCACTACGGGGAAATGTACATATTACATTTTGGCCACAATTAGGTGTTGAATAGACAGGAAATTTGCCATCAGTTCAAAAGTTAGAAAGGTGTAAGGTATCTTTTGCTCAATAGAGGTATCTTATGTACAACTAAAAAAGTCACATTGGCAGTGAAAATTTTGCAGTCCTAGTACAGGTCGTCTCCTGACCAGCTGGTTCAGTCTACTCCTGTCCCGCTCTGTTCAACACAAGGCAGCGTTGTGTTTGGCAGAGGCTACCACAGAGTCATAGAAAGTCAGAGGCCTGCTCACTCCCAAGGACCTCAGCTTTCTCAGAAGGACCTCAGCTTTCTCAGAAGGACCTCAGGCTCCTCAGAAGGTGGAGGCGACTTTGGCCCTTCTTGTACAGGGCGTTGGTGTTATGGAACCAGTCCAGTTTATTGTTAATGCGAACACCCAGGTACTTGAAGCTGTCCCCCAGCTCAATGTCCTCCCCCTGGATGTTCAGCAGCGTGTGGGAAAGTGGTTTTCTCCTGAAGTCCATTACCATCTCCTTGGTCTTACTGGTGTTCAAGCACAAGTGGTTGCGAGGGCAGAGTCGTCGAAGAACTTCTGCAGGTGGCAGCTGTGTGTGTTGTATGTGAAGTCTGAAGTGTAGATGGTGAAGAGAAACGGTGAGAGGACAGTGAGGGGCCCCAGTACTGCAGCCTCTACCTCAGTACTGTGGTCGATGGTCCATGCAGTGAGATGTCTGTCCACTCCTCTGTCCTTTCTTGCCTTTTTAACTTTTCACTTTTTAAAGCTGGAACAAGGGAAGTCATTGATGAACTCATGTGTCCAGTGAACAGGTCGTGTGGCTCATAAGGATGAGGCGGTTTGGTTTAATACAATGTAATTTTTATTAAAATAAACACTTATCGCACCATATCTTTTGTGAGTGCATTTGTTTTTAAGTCCAATTTTATCAGTGCCATCAATGCAGGTGAAAAGGGACATTCAATTCATTAACATTTCTGGGCGGTGATCATCTGCTCCCTATGGACCAACGGCTCTATGAATGAATGAATGAATGAATGAAATGTTTTTATTTCGAGTTCAATATACACAACTGAGATTTACAATACACATTTATTTTTAATAACTAAGTATCAACTCGAAAAAGGAGTGATAAGAAGTAAAACTTATATACTCCCACCCCTGTAGGCTATATCTCGTAGTCATCAGTAGATTTTTCTGCTTTTTGCAAATTAGCAAACGTACTTAACCTATGCTAGAAGATACAAATAATAATAATAATAATAAAATAAATAATGATACATTTATCGTCTCTCTCTCTATCTATACATCTATATCAAAAATACACATATATACACTATACATACACATACACACATATACACAGATACATACATGTCTACACATATAAACATATATTAACACATTTACACTTATCAGCATATACACTATAGGCAAGTGAACACATCTACATGTTTTCTGTTTTAATTATCTAAATATATATAGTTTTTTTTTTTTTTTTTTTTCCTATATATTATTTGCCCTTTTTAATATACTCCTGACAATGTGGTTTCCCGGTATATGATTATAATTCCTAAAGTAGGTAAAGTTATTGCCCTCTCTAAGAATATCGAGCCAAAATGGTTTCTTTGTATTCCTTTTTACATTTTCTCATGTCTGGACATCCCTTCAGCTTCTCACTCATGGCGTTCCAGAGCCTTACCCCACAGATAGAGACACAAAATCTCTTTCTAGTTGTAAGTGCTCTCGCAGGCTTGAATTTGAATTTACCTTTTAAGTTATAGACACCATCTCTGGATACAAACATTTTTTTAATTTGATTAGGTAATTTGTTATAATTTGCTTTGCACATTATTAATACTGTTAGATAATCAACTAGATCATTGAATTTTAGTATTTTTGCCTGTTTAAATAAATAATTTGTGTGCTCCCTGAAACCAACTTTGTGAATGATCCTGATAGCTCTTTTCTGTAGACAAATTAATGGGTATATAGCAGTTTTGTAATTGTTTCCCCAAACCTCAGCACAATAGCTCAAATACAGTAACACTAATGTACAATATGATAAATAAAGAGATCTTCGATCCAGTTTCTGTCTAGCTTTGGCCAAAACTCCAATACTTCTTGCTAGTTTGGCATACACGTATCTAATGTGTGCTTTCCAGGTAAGTTTCTCATCTATTATCACCCCTAAGAATTTAGTTTCACTAACCCTCTCAATATTTGTGCCATCTAACACAACATTTATATCAGAATTTATACTATTAGTATATAATTTAAACTATTAGTATATAATTTATACTACTAAAACTATTTCCAAAAGAACATTAGTTTTGTTTTACTTAAATTTAGAGATAATTTGTTACTGTTGAACCAAGAGTGTAATTTCCTCATTTCCCCTGCTATATTGTCCAGTAATGTCTTCAAATTTACATCAGATAAAAAAATATTGGTGTAATCTGCAAATAATACGAGCTTGAGTAGTTTTGACACATTACATATATCATTGATGAACAAAATGAAAAATGTAGGTCCCAGCACTGACCCCTGTGGGACACCGCAGGGAATGTGCAGACATGAGGAGCACTTTTCATTCATCTTCACAAACTGTTGCCTGTCTGTTAGATAGCTCTCTACCCAGTGTGAAGCCACACCTCTGATACCATACTGCTGTAATTTCTCTATTAACATTTTATGATTTATGGTGTCAAATGCCTTTTTTAAATCAATAAAAATACCAATTGCAAATTTCTTATTATCTAGAGAGTTTGTGATTTCTTCTATTGTCAATTAGAGCCAATGCAGTTAACCTTTGAGCCCTGAAGCCATATTGACTCTCAGACAAAATTTCATGTTTGTGAATACATTTTTCCAATTTTTTACAAAAAAGTTTTTCTAGTATTTTAGAGAATTGTGACAGTATAGAGACAGGTCGGTAATTTGTGAAGTGATGAACATCGCCAGTTTTATAAAGAGGGATAACTTTTGCCTTTTTCATTTTTGTAGGGAAGATGCCCGTCTGGAATGAAAGATTAAATATATGCACCAATGGTTTGGCAATTACATCAATAACTTTTTTCACCACCACTATATCCACTCCATCAGTCTGCTGACTTCTTATTATTACATTCCCTAACTAAATTCACAACCTCAGCTTCATCAACAGCACTTAAAAATATTGAATGTGGATTTGTCTTCGAAGCCCGGACATTAGTCCCCCAAGCCCGACGGCGCGTGCCCAGACACTGGCAAAACAGTGCCGGTGGCACTGAATGGCTTTGCTCCTGCTGTAGTACACAGTGAAATGATTGAGATCCTATTAAAGGTTCAACTCTTGGGTCTAGGTCATTTGAAAGTTAAAATGTTTAAATTGGCTCTATAGCGCCACCTACAACAGCCAATTTAAAAATGCCTATGGGAGGGGTTCGAGGTCAAAATTTTCCTAGAACAATGTTATTTGGTACACATGTTCCTCAAGTCAAGACATGGAAAAAATGTTATTATGGCTAAACCCTCTGACAAACAGGAAGCCCATAAATTTCATTGCAAAATGGAAAAAAGAAAACCAATCATTTTCATACATGTCGGTTGGAAAGCGACTCCTCCTCGGCCGTTTCTCTGATTGGCCTCAAAATTGCTTCAAATCAACTCAACGCATGTACCTTCAAAATGACTTCAGGGAATTTTGATCAGTGAAACGTTGTTTGAGCAGCCGAGTGGCAAAATGTGAGGTTTTTTTTGGCCGTTTTTGACAACATTAATTTTGCTCCTGTTTGCACAAACAAAGTCTGATTTGCACAAAACTTGAATCCAATGTTCAACTCCAGGGTTTAGGTCAGGTGAAAGTGAAATATTGGAAATTGGCCCATTAGCGCCCCCTTCAGACTGAGTCAAAATTGACATGGGGAGCCAAACCAGCTCTACTTATCATATTCATTACAATTTGACTAACATTATTCTATGGCTACGGGAACAAATCATCACGCGGCGGTGCCACCTCCTTTGAGCTGTGCTGCGTGGTACGGTGTGGTGCGGCGTAGTGCGGGGCGGCGTGGTGCGGGACAGCATGGTGCAGGGCGGCTTGATGCGGGACGGCGTGGTGCGGGGTGGTGCGCGCGGTGCGGGGGCTGCGTGCAGTGTGTGCAGTGTGGGGGGTCGCGCGGGTGCGGCGAGGGCCGTTCGACGCCGCTTGCGGCTTTAATTTCTTTCTTTCTTTCTTTTTTCTTCTGCGCTTTGAACCTTAATTTGACCCCCTGAACATTGATGAAAAGTTGTGAAATTTTGCCCAAAATTCAGAACCGGCGAAAAATTTATTTTTTTGGTGTTTATTTTTATGGGACTAAAAAAATGACAGAACAGCGCCCCCTACAAAAGTCAGTTTACATTGCGCCTATGGGAGCGGGTCGGAGGTCAAGTTTGTCGTAGAGCCACGAAACTCGGTACACATGTTCCTCAGGTCAAGACATGAAAAAAAGTTAGTATGGCTCCGCCCCCTGACAAACAGGGAGCTCATTCATTTCAATGGAAAATGGAAAAATGAAAATAGATAGTTTTCACACATGTCGGCTGGAAATTATCTCCTCCTCGGCCGTTTCACCGATTTGTCTCAAAATCGCTCCACATGGTCTAAACACATGTACCATCAATTATTGAATATAGAATTTGGATCAGGTAAAGATTGTCTGAGCAGCAAAATGTGACATATTTTTTCTGATTTTTGACAAAAGTAAATTTGCTCCCGTTTGCACAAACCATATCGGATTTGCACCAAATTTTTATCCATTGTTCAG